AGACCCAATCAATTTTGACCACATACATCAAGAACTATTTGAAAAGGATCTAGAAACCAAAGTGACATCAGTTTTATCACAAACGTTTATACACTAATAGGGTGAAGACAATTTTCGAACACTTAACGCAGGTGATTATGGGTATTACCTGTCGTTTGCCGTAGTTAGGGAGGGAACACATCCGACACCTCCCACTGATCAAACACTGACGTAGAGAGATAATGCATCGCAAGGGGCACTGACATTCTGAAAAAAAGACAGGTTTAAATCGTAAAACCAAAACTCACGCATAACATAATTTTAATAGCGTCCATTAAGAGCGGCGTTAATATTGAACTATTTAATGTCGTACTGTTTACGCTAATTAAATCAAATATATAAAAATATATAAAATGATTGTCTTTTTTTTTCTTTCATGATTTTATATCAAAGATTTACAATGATGAAGATTTCAATTAATTATTTTCAAACTATTATCATGTATGTGTGTATTCTCTCATTGTATATTGATTCTTATGTTTTGCTAAACAATTCATAATTGTGTGCCTACTTCAAACAACATCATCATTGAAAGGAAGTAATTAGAAATGATGTATTTTCTTTCAAATAAAAGCAGTGAATATTTAAAACCTAAGCATTGAATTCCACCCTAACGTTAGCGGCAGGAAAACCACTAATAAACCTTCACACATGCCCAATTGTGATTGCAACCCTTTTCTGGTCCCTAGCATCACCGATAATTCCGAAACAGTTCTATGGTATAGTGTATTTCATTTTTTTGATATGCGGTATCTATTAACCAAATGTTATCGGAGTAATATCATAATGTCTCTTAATTTTATCTTTTAATATACAATGTTGTAGACCTGCATGTGGATTTTTGTGCCCCCGAGGATTGCCGTGACCTTGATAGCTACAGTTATCTTTATGGAACAGTGGTACGGTTCTCGATATCAATGTTTTACTCATTCTTAATTTTATATTAATCAGTACTCTGCTAACTTGTAAAATTCATAAAATTATGCGCCTAATCTTCAGTTCCAACAAGTAGTTTAGACAAATTTAGATTGTCACCTTTTTGGCCTTTACCATCGCGAAGAGTCCTGGAAGGACGACACAGCTGTGTGTTGTTGGTATGGTATTATAATATGGCATACTGCATCTAGTACCAATTTTTGAAGGTGCTTGATAGCTTTTGTGTGTGTGTTTTACGTTCATCTAGACAAGGTGATAAAAAGTTACTTACCTTGGATTGTTCTGTATATTTGTCGTGTCTTCAGTGATGTTGACCTCACACATGTCACGCATATCAATAAAGCAATGCAAACCAGGAAGATGAAATGATGCCGCATTGTTCTAAGATGAAAGTCAAACTGTGATTCCTGAATATCACTCTTACCAGAAAGGTATACAGTTACAATTACAGTTATTTCTATTTCGATAGAAACAGTGACGCATCCAACAATAACAGCTACCCAGTTTTGATAAGTCTAATTTCTCAGATGCCTATTGACCACAGCACAGAGTACATATACAGATATATTAAAACGTGCAGTCAGTCTTCTCTTCTGCTATGACCTAAGCAGCTGATCGCCTTTTATAAACATTTTTTGCCTGAATGACTTTGGTATTTAACCTTTCACGCATGCGTATAAAGATAAAACTATTTTTAACACATGTTAGATAATTTAATCAACAACGTAGGCTACCTCTATGATTAACTGCTGACACCTACAGTGAGCAATTATAATATGATGGTCGTTCACCGCGATCAGATCATAGCTGACGTCGCTGAAAACATGGCGTTAAGTGACTGATTTCTGCTCCCTTTAATTATTTGTTTTAGGATTCAACGCTACCGTTAAAGTCATATAAGTCATGTTTTGATCTAACAATCTAATACATGTTAGACAAAACTTAGATGTAAAACATATGAATTTAGATAAGTACATTACAACTAATATATTATCAGAACTTGTTTACCATTAGGTTAATAGGTACTAATTATTTATAACACAACATGGATTGAGGTGAGCGTGAGTGCAGAGCGAATACAGATTATTTAAGATATTATTAGATACTATATATATAATTAGTATCAGTTTCAATTCTATGTTTGCGTTGAGGAGTAGGCATACATATAATTATTATTATCAGTTTCAAGTGATATTGCAACTTGTTTTAATATTGAATGTGTCTCTTTGTCTTTCACAATGATACATGTACGTTTTTCTAACACAACGTAGAGGACTTTGAGTGTCGAACGGAAGCGGATGAGTTTTTTTATATATGCAATATATTTGTCTGTATATATTTACATCAGACTTAAAAAAAATAAAAAATAAATAAAATGAATAAACGGTGTATGGCATAAGAAAGACCTCCTACGTGAGGACACTTTTCTTAGTCAGGGGTTGCACCCAAGGCCCCTCAACCCTGGCAACCTCCACTATTTTAACTCTATATTTACATATGTATACCTCGGTAAGATTTATGTATACATGGAAATCTGCTGCTGAAGAATTAAATCTCTTTCAAAAATCCTATAAGGACGGATGCCTGCGGCGAAAACACTGAAAAGAAAGAGTCGGAAAGTGAGAAGATAAAAAATAAAAAATCCAAACTGCTTTAATAGTGAACAGTTCATTTCGTGGCGTTCAGTTTATGTGACCCCCTTAGCCAGTCACGTTATTCGACATTCAGTGGGATACCGCATGCCCATTCGTTGGAGAGAATAAACATATCATGGCAAAAAGAAGAAAGCAGCGCGATTCGCGTTGTTTACCAAAAATGTTTTTTTTATTGTTATCTGATACTTCACAATGGCAACTAATGTCAAATATGTTGTTGTCCTTTAACGCCACAATTACTTAACCAGACAGCAGGTTCGGTGTCCGTCTTTTTATATATCTGTTGTACGTTCTTGCGCAAGGTTATTGTTAAGATTATAGAAATCGTTGACTATATTATATCTATTTTGATATCTTTTTCATCAAATGAATGACTTGTCCAAATTTCTAAAATGACATCAAAATATTTTCATAGGACGCATTAATGTACTTAACATAACGGATAAAAAAATAACGGAAAAAATACATGGGGATATTTTTAGTTTTTCAGGGGTGAGGGCGGGCCGTAAAATATCCAGGCCAGAACCACCATGAGCAGGAACGAGACTCATGTGTGCAGACACCGAGTGCTTACTCTATTTCGTGTTTTTTTTCTATTAATTTCAACGTAATGGAAAGGGGATAATAACACCGGTTTTTGTTTTCATAAATTACGAAAGTACAGTAGTTACGTAAGAGTCGATTGATATATGGCCTCCAACTTTGTCTGGGATTTCCTTTGGTGTTTTCCACTTAGAGGGTATTAAAGAGACAAAAATTATCTGCTACCCCATTGCAACATTTGGGATCTATCTTTAATTTTTTCGCTTACCTTTTCTTTAAACAAAATTTGGGGTTTAATGCCTCATTTCTTAAATACTATTCAGAAACGTTCAACCAGTATTGTTTAAGTTCGCTTTCGGAAGCGCAGTACCAAATATGAGCGCAACGATGCACATATGATTAAAACAAAGTTTCCGTGCTTTGATCTTTGTGCATCACAACGCACACAGAAGCAATACCTCCGACGATAATTAACTACACAATATATGTCACATGGCTTGGGATTTGTATTTATTAGATTATTTTATTTATTGATATTTATTTTATTTCATCATTATTATCATTTTTAGCTGAAAATCCTCGGTTGCTAACACTGATCAAATCGACAAATATTCCATATTTTTGCGACAGTGTTTTAAAGTCTTCTCGAGAGTTTTTAAACAAAAGTATCTTTTAAACAGGATGATATTTTTGGAAGTTTACACGTTTAACAAATTGTACACATGAAAGCATATACATGAATATCAGAAAAAGAAAAGAATTTTTCACTGTCTAATTTAATATTGAATATATGGTAGCATGAGGGTGGCAGCTAACTTCAAAACAACTGGTTGATATGTTGGCAGTATAAGTGACCGGGTTGGATGCTATGCTGGATGTCTTAGGGATGATTACATTCAGTAAGGTAGCTCTATAAAATCGGCGTATAGCTGTGTTGACGAAGTGGTATGACTTCCAGCTGATACTGTTGTTTATCACTGTGTGGTCGCTGTAGTATTTCGTTGTGTTGATGGTGTTTTTTGTTTTTTGTTGAAGCTGAGATATAAATAAGGCTTGACCTTCATGTTGACGGCGTATACGGTAGTATAATCGCAGTTGGCAACGAACATAATGCACTCGATAAAGAATATATTCGTAACCAAATGCGTTGATAATACCGTCCTTATTTTTACACTAAAAACATATTTGAATGCTGTTCGCAAGAAACCAGTCGGAGCTAGTTGCTACGAAGGTATTTATATGACGTATGGTAGCCGTGGTTGCTAGGATAATATAGTTTAAGTGAATTTACATCGATATATGATCAAATTAAGAAAATACATAGTGAATAACACATTTTTTTATTTTTTGTTTTAAGCTTTTTAATTTAATAGTCTGAGAAGCTCCTTAGAACCTCCATATTCATTTTAATGGTACGTGCATTTAAACACTGCTCTGGAAATGACGCGGTCGAATGTTTCAGAACAAAGCTGCCATTTTTTAATTTTCGTCAAGGAAATTTGAATGTGCATTCGTGGAATAAGAAATGTGTCAGAACCCCTTTGTTGCGTAATAAGACATGATGAATTCTGAATATGTTCTATGTTTTTAGATATTGAATGACCATAGCAATTACTGTCATCGGACTGTTATCTCGCGGAATAATGATCGATGCTATATTTGAAAATAAGAATATGACAATATGTATCACTCCTCCGAGGTTTTTTGTCACTGCGTATACGCTAATTTATACGCAATAAGAGTTAACTTAGCTGAAGAAGGGAGAGTATAGATGTACATATCTCTGTGTGGTGAAAAGTCCTTTCGCCGAAAAATAACACAAGTTAATAATATTTGATTTTTATTAACATTCTGCTTTACTTACTCATAGATAAAGTTCAGATTGTAAAATGAAAGAAACATTTATTTGATAACACCTCAACGGCATTTAACGAACCGTACACATGATGTGCTGCTTAGTGCAACATACAAATTGCATTAGAAGAGCTTCAAAAACAAGGAGATAGGCATGCAAAAAGAGTGCAGTTTCCTTTTACAGCGTTTAACTGTTTGCAAGTAGTACCACATCGAATGCCTTGCGTAGTCTGCTTGTCCTGAAGGTCATCGAAAATGAACTGACATATTTTTACCATACCATAGCGTAAAGGTTCATAAGTATATGAGTTGACCGCAAGTGTCTTTTAAATTATAAAGTTCATGATAATCGCTGTAGGTGAAAGTCTGTTGATGTAAAACTGAATTAAAATGATAATAATAAGTTTCTTGCCATATTGCAAACTTCAACAAGGAAGTTCAGTTATATCCCTTTGTATATTTTAAACGTATCTACGGGCCAACCGATCTCGCCAACCTGTCCATTTTTAGCCTTAGGGAATGCCTGGCCGGGGGGAGGTCTGTTAAGGTAACCCGTCTGACTCGTCACTTCTGTTGACCGGTCGCCCTCTCCTACCATTTGAAACCTCTCGAATGTCGTCGTACGGTGGTGGCGGTTTCCATCAGGTCCTGAATAGAGAACATTTCTGTTAGTACACTATTTACGGACGCTGTGCCGTACCTATCCTAATTGAACACAAAGTATATGTACTTTTAGATAATTTTGGGTTAAGAAAATGCTTGCAATATCCCATGGATACACCTAATTATTTATTTGACATCATCGAACCTTATATTAATATTTAAGTCAATCAACATTTACGGACAAATAGATTTTTTAACATTCCTCATTCTAGAACTTGTATTAACAACTGTAGTTTCTTTCCTGATGTCATGCGCCTATGGAACAATGTCGATCATTCAGTCACTTCTTCTCTGACTATCAATTCTTTTAAAAAGAAAATTAATCAAATTCAAACACCTCCCAGGACCATTTCGGAAGACTTTATCACCTGTAATCCAAGAAAACTAAATAAATCATTGTGTCAATTTCGTAATAATACTAGCAATTTAAATTTTGATAAATGCAATGATCACTTGATAGTTGATCCATCTTGTTCTTGTGGCGCATCTTGTGAAAATGCTGAACATTATTTCTTCTTCTGTCCACTTTATACTAACTATAGACATTTCATAACTGACATCATTAATCATTTTGGATATTCATCTGTTGATCTACTTACATCTAGTAATGCTTATCTTTCTACTGATGATAATTTATTTATTCTCTCAAAAATTCATCAATACATTTCTGCTACTAACAGATTTATTTAAAAATTAGGACTGTTTTCATTGCCCCTTATACTTATATTTATTTATATGTATATATATATTTTTATTTTTTTATTTTTTTAGTTTTACAATTATATAATTTTTAGGTTTTTGAGTAAGGGCTTGTGTGTGTGTGTGTGTGTGTGTGTGTGTGTGTGTGTGTGTGTGTGTGTGAATACTTATTTATTATGTGTGTATGTGAGTGTGTATGTGTGTTATGGAATGGTTGTAAGTGTATATGAGTGTGTCTTGTTGATCTATGTACTAAATCTATGCTTCTTGTCAATCAATACCGGATAGGAGAAGACTTATTTAGGCTAAGCCTGTTGTCTCATCCAATTGTGATCCTTCGATTATTCATGACGAATTCCAGGAATACAGAGAGCGTAAGTGAGCATAATCCCAGAAGTATAGAGGATGCGTACCACCTCTAAAAACTTTAACTTCACATTGGAAACTTTGTTATGGCATGGCTGTAGTTTTAATAAATCATTTCTTCAACTTACAGGGCTTTATTGAAAAGAAGATAGAGACAATATAAACTAAACATTATCACCACTGTACGGATTGTAAAACTTCAGGAGGGTTTTGGGATCTCAGATTGGTACACTATCCCTCTAACCCACGGAGCCACCTGGTCAGCGAAAGTGCTCTTGATCAACTGGCTAAACAAAGGGCAGGGATCCTTAAGATATGTATGAGGTGCACGTGCTATTTGTAACTACCTGTGTAGAGTACTGGACCCTGATACGCCGTCCACATTTGATGACTTGCGGTGGCTGGGTTGGATGACGGCCCCGTGGCTGTGGCATTTCCTCCAGGAAGCGGTACCGAGGAGTGGTGCGAAGTGGTGCTAACGAAGGAAACAGGGCGAGCCTCTCGTTGAGACATCTGAAGAAACAATCACGTCATACTCAGAGCAACGTGTTCATAACCATCGGCAATTTATGTCAATTTGGCTAAATACGAAGTTCAAGACACACGGAAGTAAACAAATCAAACTCAGACTAAGTTAAATAGGTAAGAAACTATAATAATAAAAGCATCATACTTTAACCAAGTTTAAAAGTTAAAAACAGATACAAAAAGTATCATACCTGAACTAGGGTAAAAAGGTGAATAAATACAAAAACATTTATACGAAACATAATAGTCGAATAAAATATCATATCTTACCGTAAAGATTAACTTAGTGTAAATAAAAATATATTTAAGTCAATGAAGTTTTATGAAAATTCTTCGATGATAACTTTGTCAAGCATAGGCATCGGGTCTGCGGCGCAGTGGTGAAGGGCTAGTGATCATAGATTAGAAGGCCATACACCTTTACCAGTCAGCAATCACGTCTCCCATTTCTAACCACCGGAGTTGCTATTGTCATTGAATTAATTTAATGAACTATCGATGTAGGTATACACATAGCTTCGTTATCGGGTTTTATACGGTCAAAGCATTGTACATGCCGCTTTGTTAGCGTTGTTAGCAACTGATAATCAATTTGCGGTATTAATAATTAAAAAAAAATGAAATATAGTAGGGAGCCTTATTTAAGCAAGTATATATGTACAAACCGTGATAAACATACATCCGGACGATTACTATCTAGTCATCCAGAAAAATATTCTTTACTGTCATATAAATGTCACGGTTTTAAAGTTGATAATTAACGTTTCAACGTATGAGGTACTTACGTAACGCCTTATAGCTACATTGTACATGTAATATTTAAAAGAATCTAGTTTCGCCATTAAATTACACTGGCTATGATTTTACTTAAGCCGATATTTAGTGACAGATTTGTAGGCATTCGTTCTATTGCACAATATATGTATATATCCAAATATGTATACATGTTGCAATACAGGCTTACATTGCATAATTTACACATGCATGTACTACCATTAATGCGTAATTACTACAATACATTGAATATAGCCCCACATGACTTCGATTGTTTGTAAATAAAGAGTAAACATACACTGACTACAATAAATACAAACACAAACTCCGACCTATATATATACATGTACGTACTGTCGCACATGCGTACCACAGTCCATATCACTGATATTCAGTTCAAGGATGTCAAAATATCAAATATAAGTACTTACAAAGAATTATCAGTTATATGGCAACAGTTTACATTTTATCAGTTACGTGATCATGGTCCCTTTAAAACCCAGTCAGCTTACCTTGATTATCAATGCTGTGTTTGTTTTGTGGGGAGATAGTTTCGCGTTCAACGAGGGGGTACTGTCTCCCGGTATTCGGTAGCTATAATGTCTAACGGTAACGGCTGTTTGATATGTATACTGTCTGTAAATTGTTATGATATGACTGCAGAATGTAATTAATATTTAAATGGTCGTATGGGGTACATTAAGGATAAATGTGATTAAACATATATCGAAATGTGCAAATTGTCATATACGTCATGTGCCCTGCATATGTTAACGTGGTACGGTTGAAGTTTAAAACCAAACAGCAAAATAAAATCGTCCATAAAACAAACACAAAAAGCAAGAGTAATAGTGTCAATAGATAACAACAGAATTTTATTAAAATATTAAAGATTACAATTTAGATTTAGTAAATAGGCTTAATAGTTTCCTTATCGTATGGTATGCTTTCGTGAAATAGTGATTTAACCCATCTTTAAATTTCTTTATAGTACCAGTTAAGTATTCAATACTTAAAGGGCGCCACAGCTCCCCATACTGGACCCCTCAGCTAAGGAATTGACTTAACGGATTTATAAAAGAGCTTTTTGAATGCTTCAATACTGTTATGGTTGGTGGCCATATGTACAGGTCACGGTCATAATGGGCTTCCTTTGCTAGGGTTAATCGGAATGGATACAGAGTATTGAATAATTCTGATTCTGTAATGAAAACCTTGGCGTAGTATTCTACTCCGTCATTCATGGTTGGTTCCTGTGGGAGGGTATATACCTACCATAGAGGTATGACATATATGAACCAACAACAGTACATTTAGCGATTACAATCCGCAAAGGTAGTTGTAATGCATGTCTAACGTAAGAGGGTTTACACGGATCAACGCATTGTCATAATACTGATTTATACCTATAGAGTGTGTTAATTTTAATCGATAATCAATTTTATCAATTAACCGATTAGCACTTATTATTTAATTAATTCTTTGTTTTTCTAATAACCATGCATATTTATATCAAAAGTTTCATGGAACTAATTCTTTGCCGACCTATACATTAAAACCTAACCATTGTTTACTAAACGTTAAAACATGTAGAACATCTATTGCATTGTACAAGAAACAGTACAGATATGACCTATATGGTAATGTTAATAATCTTTATTACATACTTACTAATAAATACGTTTTTTTTTTGTATATGCGATACGACACAATTGCCCTTACTTATATCAGCCCTCGCCGTATCACACCCCAAAAGCCGTATCAGCCCCCGCCGTATCACACCCAAAAACCCGTATCAGCCCGCAAAACCCGTTTCACACCCATTTTGGAAATTTTTCTTTTTTCAATATTTCAAAAGAAAAATAGATAATAAGATAGTAGCTTTTATTAGTTAGTATGTAATAAACAGAATAAAGCATGCCTTTTTTTCCATATTACACCCAGTATGAACCCTCAACCAATATCAGCTCTCGGGCCTTCGGCCTTTTTTAATCTCACTTCACACCCTCTCCCTCTCTCTCTCTCCTTATTTTTAGTGTTTCTTTTGTATATTACATTTATATTTTTAAGCTAGATAATTCTATAAGCATTGTTTTTTCCTCTTTTACAATGAAACTTGTATGATTCATCTTAAGACAGTATACAGAATTATTAATCAATCAATAAGCTCAATCAAATACCCTTTTTAATCAAGGTCTTTATATTTTCTATAAACGATGTTCGAAAATATAAAATAAAATAAAAATGTAAACAAATTATTGTTTGAATGACAGATATTAAATCATGTTTGAAATGAAATAGAAACACATTTCAAGATGCCTTGTGGTATTCCTGCTCAGATACAATTTTGTAGATACTATTTGTTTCTATTATAAACGAGATTCTTATTACATTTTTCATATTAAAACACAAAACCACATATCATACATGCATATACAAGAAAAATAATCGAAAATCGAAAAACTAGATGTTACAATATATATAGACAATGCTGATTGTAAAATTTCTGTGTATGCATTTGAAAGTTTGGCATGGTTTTTCCCTGTTAGTTGCCAAATAACGTTATTATGACGTCATTATCAGGTGTTCATAGCATTACAGTTGATATGTAACAAAACATTGCGTAGGCATTACATTGGTGGAAATTTATCCTTATTCGGAATGTTGTAAAGATACGATTTGTTCTTTTAATGGCTAATTATTTCAGTCTATGAAGCAATATACGATGATCACTTTCTCTTCGACTGTGATTTTAGCATTCTAAGAACAGTGCCCGGGCGTCGTCAGGTCAGGCACTTTGTCAATAGTGAATGGCTTCTACAGTATAATTATATATGGTACACATACAGGTGTATGGTTGTCTGTCATCACGAAGTCTTAATGGAGACATTCACTGAATTCAAACATTAATCATGAGAAATAATCATTTCTATTTCGAGAATGTTTTAATTATTGTAACATCAAAGACGGACCACAAATGCAAATTGGGCTTTTCCGATTAATCCTGGTCATTGACCACTGTTACAGGAGCTTGGATGCATACACTCTGAATGAATATTGATAATTGCTAGTAAGGGAGTGGTGATTAAAAACGGTTTCAGACGAACTTTAATCTTTCGATGTCTACTTTGTCAATACTACTCTTACAAAAGTAGGTGTTGAACGGTCACTTGCCAATCACGTGTCTCATCTACGTCTGTTCGGACATTGTCACCTATGTAGTTTACTGTACCACAAATCCTGCTACTGTACCTCAAACCATGTAACTGTACCACAAATCATGATTCTGTACCTACCTGTGTCTATATGTACCACAAATCATGCTACTATACCAATAGTTAAGTTACTGTACCACAAATCATGCTACTGTACCACAAACCATGTCACTGTACAACAAATCATGCTACTGTACCAAACCTTCAGTTTCTGTACCACAAACCATGTACCTGAACCACACGTTACGATACTTTACCACAAACCGTGCTACTGTACCAAACCTTACGTATCTGTGCCACAAATCGTGTTTCTGTACCACAAACCTTAAGCAGCTGTAACACATACCTTCTTACTACTATACCACACACCTTTTTACTACTGTATCTTAAACCTTATAACTGTACTACAAACCTTGTTACTGACCAAACACCATGTTACTGTACCACAAACTTATAACTGTATTACAAACCTCGCTACTGTACTACAAACCTTGTTACTGACCAAACACCATGTTACTGTACCACAAACCTTATAACTGTACTTCAAATCTCGCTTCTGTACTACAAACCTTGTTACTGACCACACACCATGTCAATGTACCACAAACCTTAAAACTGTACTTCAAACTTCGCTACTGTACAACAAACCTTGTAACTGTACTACAAACCTTGTTACTGTACTACAAACCTTGTTACTGACCACACACCATATCAATGTACCACAAACCTTAAAACTGTACTTCAAACCTCGCTACTGTACTACAAACCTTGGTACTGTACTACAAACTTTGTTACTGTACCACAAACATTGTTACTGTACTACAAGCCATGATACTGTACTACAAGCCATGATACTGTACAACACACATTGTTACTGTACTACAAACCTTGTAACTGTACTACAAACCTTGTTACTGTACTCCAAGCCATGATACTGTACTTCAAGCCATGATAATGTACTACAAACCTTGTAACTCTACTACAAACCTTGTTACTGTTCTACTTTCCTTATTACTCTACTACACTCCTTGTTAGTTTCCTATAAGCCATGATACTGTACTACAATCCATGATACTGTACAACACACTTTGTTACTGTACTAAAAGCCTTGTTACTGCACTAAAAGCCATGATACGGTACAAGAAACCTTGTTACTGTACAACAAACCCTGTTACTGTACTACACTGTACTACAAGCCATGATGCTGTAGTACAAACCTTGTAACTGTACTACAAGCCATGTAACTGTACTACAAACCTTGTAACTCTACTACAAACCTTGTTACTTTACTACAAACCTTGTTACTGAAAAACAACCCATGATAGTGTACTACACACCTTGTTACTGTACTGCAAACCTTGTTACTGTACTTCAAACCTTGTTACTGTACTTTAAGCCATGATACCGTACTACAAGCAATGATACTGTTCAACACACCTTGTTACTGTACGACAAGCCATGATACTGTACTGTTACTGTACTACAAGCCAAGATACTGTACTACAAGTCAGTAACAAGGTTTACTGTACTACAAACCTTTTTACTGTACTACAAGCCATATTACTGTACAACAAACCTTCTTTCTGTACTACAAGCCTTTTTACTGTACTAAAAGCCATGATCCTGTACTACAACCATTGTTACTGTACTACAAGTCATGAGACTGTATTACAAGCCATGTTCCTGTACTACAAGCCATGTTACTTTACAACAAACCTTGTTACTATACTACAAACCTTGTTACTGTTCTACAACCCTTGTTACTGTCCTACAAACCTTGTTACTGTACAACAAGCCATGATACTGTACTACAACCATGTTACTGTACTACAAACCTTTTTACTATACTACAAGCCATGATGCTGTACTACAAACCTTGTTTCTGTACTACAAGCCTTTTTACTGTACTAAAAGCGTTGTTACTGTACTACAAGCCTCGTTACTGCACTACAAGCCATGATACTGAACTACAAGCCATGATACTGTCCTACAACCCTTGTTACTGTCCTACAAACCTTGTTACTGTGCAACAAACCTTGTTACTGTGCTACAAACCTTGTTACTGTTCTACTTTCCTTATTACTCTACTACACTCCTTGTTAGTTTCCTATAAGCCATGATACTGTACTAAAACCCTTGTTATTGTACAACAAACCCTGTTACTGTACTACAAGCCAAGATACTGTACTACAAGTCAGTAACAAGGTTTACTGTACTACAAACCTTTTTACTATACTACAAGCCATGTTACTTTACAACAAACCTTTTTACTTTACTACAAGCCATGTAACTGTACTACAAACCTTGTTATGGTCCTAAAAGCCATGATACTGTACTACACACTTTGTTACTTTACTACAAGCCATGTTACTTTACAACAAACCTTGTTACTGACTAAAAGCCATGCTACTGTACAAC